GCTGGCCTTGAGTCAGAGATACGCCTGCCTCTGCCTCCCTCATGTCAAGATTAAAGGCATGTGCCAAGACACTCAGATAGAGGTCTTTTTATTTATAACATCATTCCCTATCTTTTAAAAATAATGATTTACTTAAGATGTGTATTCACTTTTGCTAATGTGTGTGTGTGCTACAGCAAGCATGCAGGTGATCAGAGCGGAGGAAGCTTGTGGGGCCAATTCTCTCCCGCCACGTGGGCCCACTGGACGGAATTTACAGCGTTAGCCAGTGCCTCTACCCACTGAGCCTTCTCACCAGCCCTTTGTTAGACATTTTGATGCAGATATTTCCTATTCTCCTGGAGTTTGATCCAAATGGAGGTCGTTATGTGTCAGACAAACAGGAACCTAAGGTGTGTACAGGTGGACTATTCCCGGCCCTGAGTACTGGGTGGAGGGATGAAGTGTTCTTCTGAGTCCATGGTGTCTACTTGCCACGTCTCCCGCAAACACCTCCAAGGGCAGCCTGTGTATCTCTCTCTGTTGGGTGGAATGTGTGTTCTCTTCAGAGGCTACTAACCCCTGAAATCTATAAATAACTACAGATTTAAAAGTCATATTCATTTGCCATAAGAGGAATGAACAAACGTGTTCATTTGTGGGTTTTTAATCCTCGAGGTACACATGCTTTGTAGAGGATCAGATTTCCAAACCGTTTTGTTTTGTTTGCTTTTGATACACCAGCAGTGGTGCCCTGTGAGCTGTTCAAAACCACGGGCGCTGAGCGGAACAGGGCCATGGCAGAGGTGGGTGGTGTTCCGGGAGCACCTCCCTTTGAGAGATGCCAATGTAAGGGAACACAGCCAGAACCTAAAGGTGATCTTCTCGGAAAGGACCGGCATCGCAGTCAGTAAAGAATCTTGAAGCCCCATGGGGTGGGACAGAGAAACTGTAGTAAAAAGTCCCCACCTTTGCTCCAGCTTTAATCTGTGCTAAAATCTGAAGATCTCTTGCTCTAAACGGGGACGGGTGTAGCAGGTGAAGCAGGAAGACCTCACTTCAGATTTCTGAAAACACTCCCGCCGGGGATGCCTTTGTTTTCTTTTCTGCAAACACACAAAACAGCCCAGTAGAATGAAAGACACAAAGGCAGACAGTAAACAGAATCCAGGAGGTGCATATCAGAGGTCAGAGGATGCAGCTTCCATTCAACTTGTTTGCAGGTTTGTGACCCATTTCCGTTTTTGTAAAATAAGGGTACATTGTGGAGCAGAATTAAAAAAGTCCACGCTAGTGGCTGGGGGGAAGTTTCACTCATGAAAGTGCCCGGTGCACAAGCTGTAGGACCTGGGTTTGGTCCTTGAGACTCGGAGGTTCCCAGAAGCTGGGGTGGGGTAATGCTCACTTTGGGCACCGCTCTGGGAAAACAGGGACAGGAGGATCCCTGGGGCTTGCTAGTCTGTGAGCTCTAGGCTTAGTGAGAGATCCTGTTTTAAAACAAGGTGGGTGAGTTCTGAGAAAGGATGACTTGCCCATGACCTGTCACTAGCCATCCCCAGTGTTCCTTTTCCTCCACAATTAGAGACAATCTGCTACACCTTAGCATGGATTTGTTCAGGGCACAGCTCTGGATTTTAGAGCTGAGGAAAGATAGATTGCAGGAGCAGTTCTGCGTGGCAGAGGGCAGGTCAACAGACCGGCTGGAGTGAGCCTGGGGTGCAAAGGAAGAGGAACCAGTTTGCCTGGGGACCAACCTGGCTCCCACAACCTCCATTTTGTGTAGTTGGGGCTCTTTGTTAGGAAACTGTTTTCAAGATGGGAACCTTTTCTTCCTTCCTCTCTTTTTTGAGACAGGGTCTCACTAGATAGCCCTGACTGGCGTGGCACTCACAGAGACCCACCTGCCTGTCTCCCAAGTCCAAGGTTTCCACCTTTTCTACCACCCTTGTGAGTTTAGCGAATTTGTCACAGGAGCATCTGTCTTCCCACAGAAACCCAAAGCAGAGGCCCTGCCGTCTGCGGGGCTGCCTAACAAGCTCCCAAATGCACCGGGTGTACCCACCGCTAAAACTCGTCCTGAGTAGGTGGCATGAGATGCTATTGGAGAGTCCACTGTGTTGACGGCTTCATGTGCCTTCCCAGTCCCTCCGCTGCAGGGCACTGGGGATGCCAACTCCCTGCAGGCTGTGGGAGGCTGGACAGGGCTGTGAGCAGGGTCTCACGGCCCCTCCTCCGAAAGGCTGCATTCATGGCAGAAGGCAGCATTCAGGGAGCACCCGCAGTTTGCAGGCCACCTGGACAGAACACAGTCTCCCGCAGGCCTCTCTGAGCCTGGGCACTGACTGCAAAGCCAGCCGCAGGGAGAGATGTGTGCATGCACTGAAGGCCAGTCCCGCCAGCCAGATTCCCAGTGGCCTTCTCTCAGCCAGGAATTGCCTGTTTGCTGTCTGAGTCCCGGGGCGGCCCTTGCTCACTAGGGCTTCTCATTCTCCTTTCCTGAGGGTATTTTCTGTGTGGCTTAGAATAAAGATTGGACTCTGAAGATGTTACCATGGCAACCGGTGTTTTAAATAAAAATAGTGCTACACCCCCGGTAGCCTGTCAGTGTGAAATGCGCCTATTGGCATGAAGGGCTGGGGGCATCTTATTTGTTCCTCTGTCTCAGCATCCATCTCCTGCACTTTCCCCAGGCCTGGGGGGCAGGACCGGCTGCTCCAACAGACGCCTGGCTCTGGGGCCCCTGGGGCCCCTGGGGGGGGGGAAGTGGGTGTCTGGCACGTGCAGGCCGTCATCAGCCAGCCAGGGGACTCTGCCCCATGCCTCCTCCTATGGCCCCTGACAGTGCAGGGGGGTGGTGTATGCTCTGTCTTTCTGGAGAGAAACTGGTTTTTGCCTGTTTCTAGAAGGAGCACATACCAGATGAGGGTGCATACGTTAGTGTTAGGTCTCCAATGTGAGGCAAAGGCTGAGGTGCCTGGCCGCCAGGTTTTCCCAGCATCCCTCAGTCCCTACCTGTTACAGGGTACCTGGAGGCTGGGCTGCCCTTCCCCCTATAATCCAACCATTTGTGGTTGCCCGGGTCTCTTGATCTGGCTCTGCCTTCCCCTCCCCCTCTCCTCACACGGCTCTGGGCCATGTCCACTCTGGACTTTCCCAGGTGCCCTTGCCTCTGGTTATGATCTCTCTCTCCCTTTTATCTACAACACATTTTCTCTTGCACCACACCTAGGAGCAGGCATGTCCTTCCTTTTTTATTTCCGTTTTTTCGTTCGGTTAGTAAAGGTCATTCCGTAAGAGCGATTGTGTAGATGAACAGAGAACAGTCTTGCCAAGATCAGGTTGCGCTCAGGTGCCCCTTGGGGCAAGAGAGCAGCTACCCCTAACCGTCCTTAGATGAAGCTGACTCTTTGAACACTCAAAACAAAAACTTCAGGAAGCCCACAGAAGTCCCCAGGTGGAGAGCCAAGGGGTCAGAGGTGAGTAGCTACCTAAGAGAGCCGGGGCCGGGACCACAGCACCTGAAGGTCGGCAGTCTCCCCACAGGCGAGACTACTGCGCTGGGGAGAGGAGTCTGATCTGAGACAACGTCTAAAGGGAATGGTCAGCCCCAGCCTAGTGAGGGCCTAGCGGTGCCTTCCGGTCAGCTGCTCCCCATCACAGCCACTGAGGAAGGGCCCCGTTGGGGAGGGCAGCCCACACAAGTGTTTCCCGTTTTTTGTAGGTGTTTAAGGCTGGACTTGGGGTACTCACCTGTAATGCTGTCGCTTAGGAGGGGGAGGCAGGTGAATCATGAGTTCAATGTTACAAAATGAAGGAAAAACTAATTTAAAAATGAGCCACTATGCACAGTTCCAACTATAAAACCCCTCTGGGGAAGGACAAGCAAGTCACTGAAGGAGTGGCTGCCAGGTGTGTTCCTGTGTGTGTGTGTGTGTGTATGTGAGAGTGTGTGTGCGAGTGTACGTGATGTGTGTGTGTATGTTCATGTGTGAAAGTGTATGTGGTATGTGTGTGTATGTTCATGTATGGAAGTGTATGTGGTGTGTGTGTGTGTGTATGTTCATGTGTGAAAGTGTATGTGGTGTGTGTGAGTGTGTGTGTGTATGTTCATGTGTGAAAGTGTATGTGGTGTGTGAGTGTGTGTGTGTGTGTGTGTGTGTAAAGGCGAATGTCTTTGAGGGCAGTGCCCCTGCTGATACTGATACACCAAAGAGTGCACACGTTGAGTGAATCCTGATGTGGACTATCAACTTTGGGAGATAATGTGCGGTATAGGCTCAGGTGTATGTCACTCTGGTGGGGGATGTTGGTAACAGTGGAGGCACTAATTGTGAGTAAATTTCTGTACCTTTCACTCAGTGTGGTGATTATGATTTATTAAAGCTTGCCTGAGCGTTCAGAATACAAAGCTAGCCACAAGCCATAGAGCCAGGCAGTGGTGGCACACACCTTTAATCCCAGCACTCAGGAGACAGGCAGATGGATCTCTGTTAGTTCAAGGCCACCCTGAGCTACATGAAACAGCTCACAGGAAGGAGATCTCAGCACTTGGGATCACACGCCTTGAATTCCAGCACTTGAGATGTGTAAGATAGGGGCGGATATTCAGTCTGGGGCATTTTTGGTCTCCAGTCACGTTGAGGGCAAGATGGCTTAAGTGTGGGCAGAGGTAGGAGCTACTGACTTGGCTGCTCTGCTTCTCTGATCTTCATCTCGAAGCCAATGTCTGTCTCTGGGTTTTTATTATTCCTATTACAACCCCAGCTCCAAATCTATTGACAAAATAGGTGGGGGGCCAATGAGATGGCTCAGTTGGAGAAGGTGTTTGCTGCCAAGCCTGGCACCCCGAGTTCAGTCCCTGGGGCTACATGGTGGAAGGAGAGAACCAGCTTCTACAAGTTGTCCTCTGACCTTCACAAATGTGCCCTGGCCTGTGCTCCCCCCACAAATAAATGAATGTAAATTAAGGCAAAATGAAAAACAAAACAAACCAGACAAGGAAACTTCACGACTGTCTCCCATTTGGATCCCTCAAAGCAGACGCTGAGACCGCCGTTTATTTGAGAGAAGGAAGGGATGAATCTTTTAGGGGCACTATAGGCAATGGGGCTCCATCTGCAGGAGAGGGCCGGGGAGCTGTGCGGGGTGTGCAGTGACTGCCGCCCCCTCCTCCATGGCGGAAGGAAGCTGGGGTTGTAGGAGGAGAGGGAGGCCTTAGCTCCCAGGCCCTTACCAGCTGACAGGGGCTTAGGAGGGCTGGGGTAACACAGAGGCACAAGTCTAGGGAGCTCAGCGGTGGCTGGGGTGCTGGTAGTGTGTGTGTTGCACCTGCCATGTGTATATTTGAGATTTATGGAAAGAATCTGACTTCAGTTTCAGTATGTGGCACCTGTGACTCAGGTTTCGGGAGAAGTAGCGCCGTGGGCACCTCATGGCCCAGGGCTTTCATAACACAACTCACCAGTAGGTTAGCTAAAGCAGCAGGCGTTGTTAAATGCTTCTCCGTTTGGAGTCCAGAGGTCCAGGACCAGGGTGCATGTGGGTTTGCTGACTCCCAGGGCCTCTCCTGCTTGCAGACAGATACAACCCCGCTGTGGCCTCATAAGGCTTTCACTAGAGCCTCTATTTTTGAGGATACTGGTTGTCTTGGATGAAAGCCCTACCCTAATGACCTTGTTTAGTATTAATTGCTTCTCCAAAGGTCCTATTCAAAGGCCCAGAGCTCCATCATACACTCTTAGGGGGACACACTGCAGTCGACAATTGGAGACCGGAGACATCCTTAGGCGCTATTTCTCCTGTCTGCTGGGGCTAGAAAAGTTTGGTGAGAAGCCAAAGGTCACACAGCTACAGTGGCAACATCATGCTGAGCTGGAGTCAAAGCTGTGTGTGCAAGGTCCCTAACACACCCGGGGCCTTCCACTCGCAGAGCCTGCCCCATGACCACCGCGTCCCCAAGGCTGGGAGCCTGGGGCTTGACTCTGGCTCTGAGGCCTCGGTTCCAGGGCTAGGCTTGGCTCAGGCCTGTGCAAGTGCTTCCTTCTGACGTCAGATGGGCCTGCTTCCCTGTGACCCGTTTCTCAGGTTGGTGAAAAGTTTGCGGGAAATGGGCACCTGTATCTGTTAGTGGGCCTGGTACGCTGAGTCCCCCACAAGGAAAGCAACTTGGCTCATATTCAGAAGCTCTCAGAAGTGTCTTTGTCACAGTCTAAGAAGGGAGATACTGGACCCAAGATTTAGCTGTGAGAAGCCCTGGGTCAGCTTCTCCCATTTTATCTTTTATTACATCGGAACGATTAATACCAAGGGACCGGGCAAACAACACCTTCTTCAAGGGAGTATGCAGCACAAAGCAGTCAGCAAAGAGCATTTCACGAGCTGGATTTTCTCGTACTTCCAGAAAGGCACTTTCAGAGCCCCTCCCATGCGGTCCCGCCCTCCCATGCGGCCCTGTCCTCCCATGTGTTCCTGTCCCTGTTAAGTATGCAGAGTCAGATGAGCAGCCTGTTGTGAAGGAGTATGGAGATTTTAGATCCCTCCCCACCCTCCACCACACAAGTCAGCCTGGCAGCTAAAAAATTATTTTTATTTTGAATGTATGAGTGTTTGTCTGCATGTATATATTTGTACCATGTGCATGCAGCACCTGTGGAAGCCAGAAGAGGGTGTCATATCCCCTAGAACCAGAGTTAAGCTGGTTCTAAGATGCCACCTGAGTGCTAAGAATCAAACCTGGGTTCCTTGGAAGGACAGCAAGTGCACTTAACTGCTGAGCTGTCTGTCCCTCCAGCCTCTTACACTTTATGCTTTTAAATGACTATACACACCTACTGCTTTTGTAGGAAGCCCCACAAAACAGTTGCTATGTTAAAAACCAGTTGAGTTCCCTTAGCTGCTGCTGGTTGGCAGCAATGAGGGTGTTGGGGATCATCTTCTCTTGCTGCTATAGCTTTTTATTCCCTATAGTGACACCCCAACTTTCCCCAGTGTCCAGTTCTGGGACCCAGGGATGGAGTTCTGCCCAGGTTTTTCAAGTCTGCTGTGTTGGAATGTCCCTGGGAAGGTGGCATCATCTGATGAAAGGAGGGGACATTACTGGCCCCTCCAGCTCCCTTTTCTTCCTCTTGGAATATGGAGGTGCTGACTAGAAGGATAGCATCCACTGTATGATCACAGCAGGGTGGCAGCACAGATGGACAGGGTCAAAGCTTTTGATAACATGCCCGGATTTTTGCATGAGCTCCTTGCTTCCTGGATTCTTGATCCAGTTAACAATTCGGATGGAACAGCTGGGTTAGCCTTTGGCTGCAAATGACGATGTTGAGACCTCCCCTGTAGGTCCTAGATCATGTCATTTCACTTTCACAGTGCCTGCATAGAGAGAGGTACTTTCTCCAGGCTGGCAGTACCATCCACTCGGCTGTGTGCCCATGTTCTATTACTAAGGAACGTAAGCATCCTACATGCTAAACCCAGCAGGACACTGTATGAAATGCTGAGCCGTATGTTCTGCAAATGCTACATGCCAGGTACAGAGCCAGGTGACGGGGGGCAGAAGAACCCCACACTCTGGGTTCCAGAGGCTTTTTTTTTTTTTTTGGTTTTTCGAGACAGGGTTTCTCTGTGGCTTTGGAGGCTGTCCTGGAACTCACTCTTGTAGACCAGGCTGGCCTCGAACTCACAGAGATCCACCTGCCTCTGCCTCCCGAGTGCTGGGATTAAAGGCGTGTGCCACCACTGCCTGGCTGGTTCCAGAGGCTTACCTGACACCGCGATGGCTGTGCACCCTGTTGATGGAATCGGTACCATGTGACACAGGAGCCCGGCTGACTTTCAGGTCCATGAAAGGTAGCAGAGAAGCTGTTTCCTGTCTTTAGTAAGTTCAGCAACGCCCATCCGTGACAGCCACAGGGTCACCGCTAGAGGCCTCTGCTTAAGGCTTTAGTGCCCCGATTAGCGATACGGGGCTTTTGGACCCCAAGAGACCTTCCTGTTCTGCTGAGCTGAGCTAACATGAAGATAGTCCGTGAGTCTCCCATGAGAATCATCCAGATTCGGCAGGCTGGGTCCCTGGGGAGGGCTTTCAGCATCCCAGCAGGGACAGCAGAGGAACCCCTGATTGCTCATAGAACAGCCTTGCACTGAACACCAACTGTGTTCTGAGCCCTACTGTGCTGGCTTTGGGGACACCCATGCAACGAAGAAGACAGTGCACCCTGCCCTTGGGGACGCGGTTCAGCTGGAGGAAATGAGGTCATGGGTGACTGCCATGGGACCACGTAGCCTCTACTCCTACAAGGCATGATTGATGGTTGCTTAAACTTTTCATTCTTCTCACTTCCAGCAGGCTGTTCCCAAGCCCCAGGCTAAGGGACAGTTGGGAACCTTTGAAATCAGTCACTTCTACAGCCTGGGGTGGGTGGCAGGAGCTGGTCACCAAGTGTGTGCAGAACACCCTTTAGGTAGGCAAATAGCACCCCTCCCCAGGGTGTGATAACCTACCGCCAAGTTATGGGACCCTGAGCCAGTGTTTCCATTGCTCTGAGCCTGGTCCTCATGTAAGGAGGCTGCTTCCCTCCCCAGGGTGCTCTGGGCTCTGGGACAGCACAAATGTTTAGCACATGGTGACTATCACCAGGGTACTGGGGCCACTGCCTGTGTCCTACATCATGAAAAGCTTTGGTTCTGGAGACAAAGGGCCAGGCTGTGTGGCCCAGGGCAGGCCCCTTAGCTCTCCTGACCCACTTCCTTGGCTGTACGATGTTGCTGTTCAGGTGGCTTTCTAGCAAGCTCCAGAGGTCCACCTGTCTCTGCCTCTCAGCACCACGAGGACGCTGGGGACCAAGCTGGGGTCCCAGGGCTTGCACAGCAAGCTCTTTGCCATTTCGTGCTCTCTCCAGTCCTTTCAAGATAATGTCTTTAAAAACAGCCTTTCAAACCCTGTGTGACACTCACTGAGAAGTTTTTTTTTTGTTTTGTTTTGTTTAGGGGACAGAGGGAGCGGGCAGGTCAGACGATTTTTCCTCTGAAAGTCAGAATTATGGGGAAGACCTTGCTTGGACTCTGGTTCTGTCGTCAAGGCCCACACACTCTTCCCTCGTCATTAACTGTGTGTGCAGCTTCCTGGGTTGCAATGGGAAGCGGAACACAGCTTCCTCCTGGTCTCACCACAGTGCACACGACGGAAAAGGTCAGAACTCTTGGTCTAAATTACTGTTTTTCTTAGGGAAAAAAAGGTGTGTGTGTGTGTGTGTAAAAATTTGCCCGGGTCAGTACCCACTGAGAGAAGCTGTGGCTCAGGGCTGGAAAGATGTTTACCTCTGATTTATCCATTGAATCTGTGATATCACCCACAAGGTGGGCATAAAGGTCAGGGCCACCAAGATAACAAGGACGACAACAAACTCACCCCGAGGTCAGAGAGTCACGAGCTGCTCACATTTAGTTGCAGTCACGGCCTAGTGTATAGTCTTCGGGTCAGGGTTTTCTGTTAGGGGCTGATTGTAAGTGGTTTTTCTCTGATCCCATGGACATTCTGGCTTCTCCGTTTCATATTTGTTCATGAAAGAGGGGTCAAATCTAAGGCAGGGCCAAGCAAAGCACCGGAGACAGCAGCTTCATGATTGCAAGGGCCTGGGGGCAGGTTATCGAACCTCGCAGTCCTCAGGTCCTCTTAGAATGAGGTTGCTGCAAGCCCGGAGTGCAGAACGTGAATGCTTTGCAGTGTGCAGCGTGTGAGTGAAGAGAAGCTAAGGCGTCCCCGGTGCAGGGGTCAAACATGCCCCGGGCATATTTATTCAGAACACAGGAAAGGTCAGGACTCCATAGCCCAGGGCATCTGGAGATTTACTCCTAAGATTTGGGAAAATGGATTTAGAAAACTGCTATTCAATGTTCGGTGAAAGCCATAAGCACCTCATACTGCTTCGATGGAGGCCTGGGAAGCTTCCCTGTCGCATAGTGCTGAAGTCATTTCCTTTCCAACAGGGTCTCGCCGGCTTGGTTGGGTGATTGTGTGTGGATGTGTTAAAGGTGTGCACTGTCATGGCCAGATTTTTCTTTTTCTTTCTATCAATATGATTTGGAGCTCCTTGGGGTGCTGGCCAACATTCAGCACAGTCAGGGTAGGGCTGGTCAGTTGCACACCCAGGAAGTTCCCATGGGTGCTGATAAGGTCGCCAGTCCCAGAAACACAATTGAAAAATACCATGCTATTTGGTATTCAGCATTACAAAAATACTGACCAGCAGATGGTAGCCAATCTGTAAGGAGGAGGAGAGAGAGAGAGAGAGAGAGAGAGAGAGAGAGAGAGAGAGAGAGAGAGAGAGAGAGAGAGAGAGAGAGAGAGAGAGAGAGAGAGAGAGAGAGAGAAGCCCACTGTGTCCACAGCCTTTTGTGGTCTGCGTTGGGCCATGCTAGAGAATCTGCTATTTGGAATGTAGCTTGCTGCAAATGTAAGTCTCACAGGGTTTATGATGTAGAGACTCTGAACTTACCACTTCCAATGGCATGACTGCTAAGAGAAGGCTACAGAAAACAGGCTGAATGGCCTTGCTTCTGATAGGTCCACCCAAGCAGAGGGTCTGGAATGTTCTGAGCCCAAAGTTGTGTTCTCCCAAACACTGAGTTCTGAGGGGCTCCTCATCTGAATTTGCAGCTTTGGCGTTTGAAGGTCACACATAAACCTCAGAACTTACGGGTATCGTGCCAACCAAATTCAAGTCTACTTTCTTCTAGGTCTTATATGATTCCCTCATTTTCTCCGGCTATGACCCCATTTATATTTTATAAGGTTTTAAATAAGGTTCCATTATGAAGCCCTTCAAGCAAGGTTAAAACCTCTTACCAATGACTGTGTGTTAGTGGGGGAGGGGGCCCCTGGTTAAAGACGCCAAGGTGAAAGATTCTGAGAATAAAGTGACTTTTCAGGGTCCCTGGGAATGACCAGCTCCTCAGCATCATGGCACCGGGGCTCAGGAGATGGACTTCAGGGAGGAAGTAAGGCTCTGTACCCCTCACCAGTCGCTCTGTGGGGAGGGTGATGCCAAGCCCTTGCAGGTAGCTGTAGGCCTGTGGAGGGACTGAAGGTGTGTCTCGAGAAGATGATTACGAGCATACAGGAAAATGTGGGTTTGGAACGGATGCTGGAGAGGATGCAGGGAGGCCTCAGGGACAAGTAGTGAAGGAACCCTGGACAGACTGCTGCCACAGTCACCACCTGGCTCGCTGTCCCCGCTAGAGAGTCTGACGCAGCAGGGGGCATGGGGCCAAGGGTTCCATGTGTGCCCGCGCTGAAGCTGTGCTCAGAGACCAGGCCATGAGTGGTGCTGGTCTCAACCCTGTGGTGCCAGGGAGTCAGGAAGAGCTCTCAGAGAGAGCAGGCCTGTTGTGTATTCTAAGGTGGTAGGTGTGTCTGAGAACGGGGGGCTCCTGTTGCTTAGAAGGTAAACATAATTTAGTACAAATGCCACAAGTGCCCTCAGGGGCTCAGGAGTGGGGTGGGGGACAGGAGGCTATAGGAAGCGAGAGCCTCTTATTCCAGGCTCTAAGATGACAGAGACACAAGCGGCCCAGGACCTGTCTGGGTGGCCTTCATGCTGGGCGGTGTTTGCACAGGCCTTGGTCCTCTCCGCTCCTGCTTCCTATGGAGCCCCAGCAAAAAGCCTACAGTACAGAGTTCATCGGGGTGCCGCGGCTCTTTGTCCTACAAAGCAGAGAGGGAGATCTTATTCTTCCTTGGTACTTCAGAAGGGATGCCATACAGCTCTCGAGAGCCTGCCTGGGCTCTCAAGAGTAGCGTCACAAGTAAGATTTGTTAGGTACAAAAATACTCAAGTTCAGGAGACCTTAGGTCGTCAAGTCCTGGGGCTAGGAAACCACTTGCCAAAACAAGCAACAGGAGCCTCAGACATCTCAGTGCCCTGCGACGCCTGCCTAGTGCTTGGCTCTTGTGTGTCACTGGCAAGTGTGCAGGGGAGAGTTGTGGAAATCTTGCTCTCAAAGGATGGAGTCAGCCGCTTAGGGAATCTGGGACCATTTGGGAGGAAACACGGGCTGCCCCTGTAGCAGAGCCCTTTGAAGGTTATAGCGGAGTCACCATTTAAGGCCATCACCCCTTAACCAGGTTCTCCCTCCCTCTATTGCCAGGGCAAAGATACTGGTGCCAATATCAAAACAGGCTGGGGAGATGGCTAAGCCAGTAAAGAGCTTGATGGCAGGAAGATCTGGAGCAGACTCCCCCCCCCCACCTACACAAAAGCCAGGCTCGGTGACACACTCCAGTAATGCCACCTCTGGGGAGGCAATGTCAGGAGCGTCCCCAGGACTTGCCGACCAGCCAGTCCAGACGAATGCGCGAGCTCCATGCTCAGCAAGAGGCTCTATCAAGAAAATAAAGCGGAGGTTGGATGAGACAGCTCAGCAGGTAAAGGCACTTGCTGCCAAGCCCGAGTCCCACAACTCTTGCAAGTTCTTCTCTGACCTCTACACCAGCGGCTCTCAACCTTCCTAATGCCATGACCCTTTAATACAGTTCCTCATGTTGTGGTGACTCCCCAACCACAAGATTATTTTTGTAACAACTTCACAATCGTAATTCTGCTGCTGTTATGAATCTTGATGTAAATGTCTGTGTTTTCCCAATAGTCTTAGGCGACTCCTATGAAAAGGCAGTTTGACCCCTAAGAGGTTGAGAACCACTGCTTTGCATGCATGTTATAGCATCAACACACATGGGTGTGAATGCACACACACACAAACAAAATGAGAGGATTCTGAGGTTTAAGAATGCTTGCTGCTCGTGCACAGAGCTGTGGTTCGGTTCCCAGGACTCACGTGGCTGCTCATTTCAGGAGATCCGACGCATGTAGCACACATAAACACACACAGGCACATACACATAAATAACAAATACAGTTTTAAAAAGAGAGAATTGAAGAAGATACCTCTGGCTTACACACACACACACACACAATTTTTAAAAGGAAAAATAAAAGACAGAAAAAACAAAAAAAGAAAGGAAACAAAAAAGGGGGGGGAGGGGGAAAGGGAAAAGGACCTGGTCCTATAGCCTGCATGTGTTTTACATTCAGTTGAGGTTGCTCAGCCTTTCTAAGGGCCTACAGACATCTTCCCTTGCCCTAAGAGACCTGTTTGCCTGCCGCCTTTGTGGGAAGCCGATGCTGCCTGGAGTGGTGCTCTCTCTCGTGAAGCTGAGCTATTTGTGTTGCAATAAACAGCAGCTTCAGCTGCCCCATCAGGGCAGATGATGAAGAGTCACCACTGGGGTCTGCAGCCTGCTGGAGGAGTCCTGGAATGACCTGGGGACGGGGAGGTTGTCTCACAGGCTGGTTGTCCAGGCGCTCAGGTGTCCGGACCCTCGACGCTCGCTGCCTGTGGTGCAGTGTGACCCTGGTGTTGTGAAGTAGCCGTTCTTTGATTGGCAACGGCCTGATTCACAACACCAGCTGTCCCACTACACCGTGCTGGAGGTCCCTGGAGCGGCCGATGGAGGAGGGGTCAACTCTGCCATACCTGAGCCGCCTGCGGGGAGGTCCTGGGACAGCAGACAGTTGATGACCCACGGGTGCCTCTGCAGGGGAGAAATACAGACAGGATGACAGTGACGAGTGCAGTAGGGCCAAGATGCAGAGACTTTTCCTTCCCATGTGTGGGGTGTGTGCGCGCGCGCGAGCGAGAGAGAGTGTGTGTGTTTGTGTGTGTGTGTGTGTGTGCATGTGTGTGTGATCAACCTTTGTGTCATTCCTCAGGAGCCATCCACACATGCCGAGAGCAACCTTCAGACAAACCAACCAATACTGAGATAGTCGTCAAGTAGCCCTCATGAAAACGAGGGGTTGGGGAGATGTCTGTAGACAGGGTGATTTCTGCAAGGACCTGAGTTAGATTCCCAGAACCCAAATGAAGCCAGACTGGTGCATAGCAACAGCGGGGGAGGCACAGACAGATGGACCCCTAAGCCTGTGTGCCAGTCAGCCTAACCTACTCGGTGAGTTCCAGGCCAGTCAGGTACCCTTCCTCAAAAAACAAGGAGAATGGTGTCCTGAGAGCCAACACCTAAAGTTGACTTCTGAAACACACACACACACGTAAACTCTGTCTCTTACACACATACACACTCACACACACTGTCACACACACTCCCTCTTACACACACACACACACACACACACACACACACACACACACACACACACACACACACCCCTGGTAAGCCATCATAGCACCTGGCCTCTCTGTCAGGAGGTGACCTTGGAAGTTTTCCCTTCAGTATCTGTCTGGATTTTTATTACCTTGATGAAATTACTGAGCACCAGCTGACATGGAAATAGCATTAGAGGTTTAATTCCCATTTCCAGACGTCAATAAATGCTTCAGATGAACAGCCCCTTGGCCCCCGTGGCTCCTGCCCGCTTCATGACTTTAATCATCCAGTCTAGAAAAACCCATGTTGCCCACTTGGTGCCATCTACCTTGGAGTCTGTGTTAAGGACACACACTTAGGAAATTCCCAGCACTGTCACAGAGGTTCTCCCAGCATTCCTGCCAGAGTGAAGAAAGAGGCAGACCCTCAGAATAAGTCACTCATTGTTTCCCACCTTAGCCTGGGAGTACACGAGAGCCTTGATTTCCTTCGGGGCACGGTGGGTTGTATAGTATAGGCTGCTGTACCGCAGGTTTTCTACCCAATATGGCTGTGCATCCCGGACTCCCAAGAAGGACTCAGAAGCTGACGGCGAGCAGTGATAGAAGGACGCTGCTGCCATTGGACTAGGAGTGGTGCTGGGTACGTCAGACCTTGAGCTCTGTGGAAGTCACGCTCTGTGCCCTGCTGGGGAGGTGGGGTGGGAGTTAGAAATTGGGAAGGCCAGAGGGATGGAGGGTCTTGAGTGGGAAAGGTAGGAGGGCTGTAGCTGCAACCCTTTCTACCTTACCCCATCGAGACTGCTCATATATTTTTGTTTATTTGTCTTTGTTGTTTTTGAGACTTCTCTGTGTAGCAGCCTGGCTGTTCTAGAGCTCATTTTAAAGAACAGGCTGGCCTTGAACTCACAGAGATCCTCCTGCCCCTGCCTCCAGCGTGCTGGGATTAAAGGTGTCTGCCCACCAGGCACGGCTTCCTCGTCTCCTGAGGAAGGTCCTGGAGCACGTGGCCTCCAGCCTCTCCACTCTAGTTCTGCCAGGCAGGCGACTCTTTGTACAGCCAAGACGAGCAGGTGACTGGCTGCCCAGTGCCTTGGCCCAGCAGCGTGACTCTGAAGGCAAGCGTCCGGGCAGCTTCCCAGGTTCTGTCCTTTCCGTCCAAGAGTTCCTGGGTCAATCTATGAACCTTCCCGGACCTTAGCCTCAGTATCTGCCAGCTGATGTACTGAGATCCAAAAGCTTGGCACCAGCAAACATTGATAATTGGGCACATGTAATGATGGTTCTTGGTGCCCGCTAAGTTGGCGCGGCTGGCTCTCCAAATGCCAGCTAAACAATGACTTGGACGTGCTTTCCCGTGGACTGTCTTGGGCATTATTATCACTGGCGTTGGGAAGCCAGTGGCAGTCAGTCCATAGGGCCAGCTCCATGTAAAGCAGAGTGAGGAGACTGTGGAGCACCCCCGGGGAGAGTAGTTAGTCACCAGCACAAATGACACCCACCCTATGGTCAAGATTTACACAGAAAGACCCACGTAGCCGCTGGGTGACTCAAGCACACTCCAAGAAAGTAAAATCCCAATCCTTTGTGTTGGCACCATCCCAGCCTTGCACCTAGGGAAGGTCATTCAAGAGCGAGGCAGAGGCTGGGGCCACAAGCAGACCAACCTGTAGTCAAGTCTACTCCTTAGTTTTGTCTAGAACCTACTGAAGCCCAACATGTCAAAGAGGAAGAAAATGATTATCTTAACATACCAAGTAACTGCACTGTATTAACCTGTAATCTCTGCAAAGATAAGTCCTGGATGGACTTGTATTTCTAATCCTGGCCTTATCCCTATAACTGCTCTGGCCAGATCTCCTTTTTGTAGTTGTGTGTGCCTGTATGTTCATGTGGAGGCCAGAGGTCAACCTGGGGTTTGCTTCCTCAGAAGCTAGCTACCTTGTTTTTTGAGACAAGGTTAATTGCTGGCCAAAGACTGGCCAATTAGCCTATGCCGGCTGGGCAGGGACTCCCAGGAATCATCCTGTCTCCAGGTCCTCAATGCTGGAATTACAGGTGTGCACTGCCACGCTCAGGTTTCTATGTGTATAGCGAGCACTTCATTCATGGGGCCATCTCCCTAGCTCTCTGCCCTTTAAAAATCTGTTTCTACTTTGGGGGCAAGCCTAACAAACTGAGTTTGGATTCCTAGAACCCATATAAACAGCAGGTGGGCATGGCAGCCTGAGTGCAATTTCAGCATTCTGGAGGCAGATACAGGGGATCTTCAGAGCAAACCGGCTAGCTAGTCCATATCCGTGAGTTCTGGGTTGAGTTGAGAGGAAAGAGTTGGAGAACAATTCAGGAAGACTTCCTATGTCAACCCTGGGCCTACACGCATGCACGCATGCATGCACGCTTGCACTAGCTGGCAGAGAAAATCCCTTTTCACCATGGCTACTTGCACCAAACAAAACAGAATGTAACAGAAAAGCCCGCTTCCAAATGTAGGGGAAGGCAGGTGCTAGGCAAATGACCTATAAAGGGTCTCGATGCTGGGGCCTTGGGGCCTTTGAGCCCCAGGCCTGCTCCAGCTCCGCAGCTCACTTCTGTTCTTGGGGCTATCTTTCTCTTCCTTCTACTCCTATCCTTGTTCAGCGTTCCAGCTCCAACGCTTTGTTGTAGCGCACAAGACCCGGGAGCCCTCGGTGGGTATCACTCACACCCCGACTCACAAGTCATTTACAACCCAGTGGCCTCGGCATTCTTGTACACAGGCTGTTACTCTAGGTCTAGAGGCTCCTTTGGGGGAGTATGTCTAGTATGTGTGGCAGGGAATCACCCTCCAGGGACAGCAGGGAGCCGGTAGACAACTACTAGGCTCTCTTGCTCTTTGGGTAGAGTGATCTGAGATGTGTTGTACAGGCCCCTCATCCTCTATTGCTCCATTCCTGGGACTATACCCAACACTCACCTGTCTGTTAGAAGTGTATTAATTTTGAGCAGGTGTGGTTACACTGTTCCTATGGTAACCAGCAGCAGGGTAGTCTGAGGGGCAATGCGTGTGTCCTCATGTGCTTACCGTGTTCTGCAAATGAGCCAGACCTTGGTACACCCTGAAACATCACATCACAAGATCACAGGAGTCTTGCTCACTCACCTTAGTCCTATGCAGACTTTCAGGGAATCAGAATACAATACACAAGTCAGGTCAACATCCTGGACCGGGTAGGCATTTTCTTTTTAAATTTTATATCTTTTTATTTTATGTGTTTTGCCTGCATGGTGTGTCTATGCACCATGTGTGCAGTGCCCGGAGAGGCCAGAAGAGGGCGTCAGATGCCCTAGAACTGGAACTAGGTGACTGTGAGCTGGTATGTGGGAGCTGGGAACTGAACCTGGGTCCTCTGGAAGAACAGCCAGGGCTCTTAACCATGGAGCAGTCTCTCCAGCCCCAGGTAAATAACCCTGTAGGTGGAACCTCAGGACCTGAGTTTTGAGACATTAAGGGTCCACAAAGGGCAAGGGCCGTAGCAGTAGAGATAAACTGAAGGCGGCCAGCTGGCACTCAGGCATCTTGGCAGACACCACCAAGATGGGGTGTGCAAGAATGAAGTCCTGGTTCAATGAGGCTACCAGGCGGTTGGAGCCCAGCCTGAAGTTTATTAGTACAGTTAATATTGCATGCAAATAGATTCCCCGACCCTGGCCATGCCAGTCCACTAATTCAGGCCCCGTCTGCTACATCTTTACTCTCAGCAGGCTAACCCTGCCAAATGCCTTCTCTGGAGTGCACGTCATGCTGTGCTTGTGTAAGACAAAGCCACTGTGCCGACCCTGTCACATCAGCTTTATGGCCCCGTCTGGTCAGGGCGATGGCGGGAGAAGGAACACACAGGATTCTCCTCAGCATCTCCCTCCAGCTCCGGAGCCCACCCTGCCTTCCTTGTCTTCCTCTTTCTTTCTTTTTAGATTAACACCGTATTCGCTAACTGGACCTAGAGTCAACCATAGCGTTGGACGTCTGCCAAGGCCAACGTTTTTGTGAACAGGAATGTCAAAGCTCTTGGTGATCTCCAAATCCTTCCTAGCAGCCCCACATGGCCATCAGCTGAACATGCCAAGGAAGGCTTAAAACGGAAAGCTCAGTTGTCCTGGGCCTTTCTAGGATGACGGCAGAGCCATTAACGTGGGCTGTAGGAAGATGGCTTCTGGCATCACCAGATGGGGGAGGAGCATGCCCAGGCCCCGTAGTATGCTGTTCCTTCAGTCCATGGCCCAGTGCTGTCTAGGTCTTGGATTTGAACCTGGGTTATCCCCAGAGTAGGGTCTGGAGGTGTAGCTCAGTTGGTAGAGTGCTTTCCTAGCATTCAGGAAGCCCTGAGTGTAGTGTGGTGGTACATGGTTTTAACCCTGGTACCAGGAGGCAGAGGAACTAGGGAATGAAGTTCAAGTCTATCCTCAGTCACACAGCTGAGTCTGAGGCCAGCTTGGGCTACATGAGACCCTGTTTGTTCATAAAGAAACAAACTTCGAAGCAAATCCCAGCGAAGCCGCCTTCTGCCTCTGACTTCAAGCACACTGTTTCCCCTCTGGCCTTCACGTGGCCTGTTTGTAAATATGGCCACACCTTAGCCCTCTGCATATGACAGCTTCAGGGATTGAGTTTTTGAGACACATTAGCCATGCAGAATGCTGCTGGCAGACACTCAGCAAACATTGGGAGAAGGTTAACTCACATTCTCATGGATCCAGAAACTAACTATCTGCAGCTTCCTGGAGAACCTACACTGAGTGCATGGTGAAACTCCACACAGGCATGTCTTTGAGGGTCTTCAGAGGGGAACTCTATTCTCTTGTCTGTTAATTACAGAAGCACAGCAATGAAGAGACCTGTCTACCACACTCCTCTGCATTGCCCTTTGGTGGGCACGAGGAGGCACCGCAAAGGAAGGAAGCACAGGGCCCAGGGTTCTATCCCAGCCCCTGGGTCCTTCATCAGCTACTGTGACTGGGAAAATTAACCAACCCAAGGCAGAAGGATCTTGAGTTTCAGGCTTCTCAGAAACAGCGTTGAACCCATCCATAGTATATCCTAGTCATCAGGCTCCATACCACAATTGTTATCTTTAAAAAACCAACAAAGGCCATCTATTTATTATTGTGTGTGGGGTGGAGGGAGGTGTGTATCTCAGAGGATCGCTTGTGGGACTTGGGTCTCTCCTTCCACCATATGGGTTCTGGAGAAAGTGTCTTTAGATGCTGAGCCATCATGCTGGCACCCCCAATTACTTTTCTTATTTAGTTTCAACTGGAGTGAGACACTGCTGTTTTACCAGTTTCCCACCCAAGGAGACAGAGGTGTGGGCGTGGTAATCAGCTTAGCCACAGCTGCAGCTAGCAGATGCCAGGGCGAGGCTTGAGCCCCCAATCTGCTGGCTCCAGGCCACTAAGCTGTAATGTGTATCTTTGGTGTGATGTCCTGGCGTCTATGGGGCATAGGTGGGCTTCCCAAATTACCAGTTTCATCTAGCATTTTCCTATTCCAAGTTGCAGCTATGTCTCCTGCAAAAATCCCAACCTCACGTTCCCTTTATTGTATATTTTAAAGACAATGTCTCATGTGTCTCAGGCTTGCCTCCAACTTATTACACAGATGACAGTAGTCTCGAACTTCTCATCCTTCTGTCTCCAACTCCTAAGTGCTGGGATTATAAGTGTCCATCATAATGCTATGTTTAGGCAGCATTGGGGATTGAACCCAGGGTCTTGTGAATACTAGGCAAGGGCTCTACCACCTGAGCTACAAACCCGGGGCTCCCTTTATTATTTTGATGAATATTGTACTTAGGTTTGCGGTGGTAGGGTGAGTATATATATACATATATATATTATGTGGGGGAGAGTAAAATTAGACAACCCCACTACCTAGCACATCATAACAACTAGAACATAAACACACACACACACACACACACACACTCATCTTAACCTAGTTTTCACTTGCCAATTTGTTGAGTAAAATCAGTCAGCAATACCATGCTAATTAAAACGTGATGGAATCAGGCTATTTGCAAAATTAGCAGTTCTGACTGTCTGGCCTCAGTGGCCCAGGGGAGGCCCACTGAAGCCTGCTTCTGCATTGTGTTCTTATGAATCTGTGCTGAGAAGATAGTTTCTCCATCACGGTCTGGAGCAAGCCCTGCCTACCTAGCAGACTGCAAACATCTCTGAACTTTGTTCACTGGATAAGAGCAGACATTAACTTCCTATTAGCATCCCTGCACATTTCCCTCAGGAAGATCAATCACATGCCAAGCCAGACACATGGCTCCTGCTCATGACTCATCTTGGGAGGTAGGAAGCATAGCTGTTCTGTGATGGTTCCAGGGACCTGGGTGCAGCATTGGTTGGGAGGAGCAGAGGGAAATTAGGTTTAGGAGCAGAATAATAAGTAGGACTTTGGGAGAACACTGCTTTATGTCATATGGCCAGTTCACTGGCCACACATTTGCTGTATGCATGCGTGCTATTCGAGTTTGAGCTTACGATGCCTTCTTTTCCACACCTCAAATTTGGTGTCTTATGTGTGTGCGTGCGTGCATGCACGTGTGTGTGTGTGTGTGTGTGTCCCTTTCTCTTTTTAGCCAAATCAGTGTTGGCTGTGCTCCATGTCTTTAGCATCCTAGGAGCCGAAAGGGACAGAACGTTTAGCATTCTCTACTCAAATAATTACAATACTGCAGTTTCAAGACACCCTGACTTCCTTTTACTTTGCTGTTGAAACCCTGCTTTTGTGACTCTGGCCCTGCCCCCTCCCCTCTCTCCGAAGCATCTTCTTCATCTCCATCCTAGGCTTGTTAAGGGCTGGATAACAACAGGAAGTGAAAACCCCACAGGGATGAAGGGTTCCCTAAAGGGTTGTGGGCTCCTTGCCTCCCCGGAATCATGGTGGTTGCTATTTTAAGGACCAAGCAACATGCAGGGAAAACTTGCTTTATGGAAACTCAGTAACCGAAAGCCTCCATCCACACACACACACACACACACACACACACACACACACACACACACACACACACACACACGAAGCTGCTTCCCCCGGAAATCTAGTAGGACTCTGCTGAAAGCTACCTCCTGCCTGAAATTCCTGTGAGCTACACTATCTTAGGGACACACCCCTGGGTAAGGAGAGTTGCATCTATACATAGCCCTGGGAATCCATATCCCTTCACCAGCCCAGGGAGACATATCAACAAGGGGCAGAGTGGCACATACCACAAATACAAGCTGTTCCCAGTCAAGACAATTCCTCTTAGCCATACTGACCTCAAGGTCATCACCTACAGGTTCCCTTCCCTGTCTGTCCCTGTCTGGAAGGCTGCAAGCCCAGAGCATGTGAGCTGCTGTCCCTTCCTGGGGGGCTCTAGGCAATTCCATTCTCACAGCACCAAATGCTCCCTTTTCAGATAAAGCTGGAAACAGCAGTTGTTTTTCTCATGGAAGAAAAGAAGTCTCAGTTGTTGCGGGGCAGGACGGGGCGGGGTGGTGGTGTTCTGAACACCTTCGAGACCCTTGCTGCTCACCTGGCTGCCACTGTCTTCAGTAGAATCTCTGCCTCCCTCCCTCCCTCCCTCCCTCCCTCCCTCCCTCCCTCCCTCCCTCCCTCCCTCCCTCCCTCCCCCTCCTCCCCTCCCCCTCTTCCAAAGCCCCGCTTCCTTCCCACAGTTCAGCTGCAGAGCCCTGCCACATGCGTCTCTTGAAAGAAAGGTCCCATGACTTTTGTCACAACAAGTTTCCAACCTGCCTAGCATTTCTCCTACGAACTTCTCTTTGTAAAAGTGCAGCCCTCAGTATAGTCACGGGGGAAGACAATCGTCAACGCATGGAGCATTCACAGACCAGCAAGGGGAGCCCTGCTGCAGGACAGAGTGAGTTACCTACAGCTGCAGCCACAGCCAGTGCCCAGGGACAGCTCCTGAGAACCAATGAGGGAGTCCCCACCTCTCATACCCTCAGCCCTGAGCTGGGACGACAAACGAGGAAACACAGGCTCACCCTCCCAACGTCACTCACATCACTTTGAGACCTGCTGGCACACACACCGCCTGGCCATCACTGAGAGAACTGACCTGCATAAGGAAAGGTCAAGTCTGAAGACCGTGGTGATCCAGGCAGTGTAACCATCTCCTGGCCACAGGGACCTCCGGCCTCGAAGACCGAGGCTGGACTTCGTTGGGATATTACCGCAGCCACAGGACTTCAGCTCAGGCCCCGGAACCTCAGATCTGCAGGGGTGACACTCACCTGTATTATAAATGTCGAGGGGTGGAAGACAAGAGGTTCCCGGGAGTTTCTCAACAGCAACTCTAGCTCAATCTGGGAGTTCCAGGTTCAGTAAGAGACACTGTTTAAAAAAAAAAAAAAAAGATGGATGACTCGTGAAGAATGACACCTGATACTGATCTCTGGTCTCCAACACACATGTGCATGCACCCAACACACACGCACGCACGCACACGCACCCACTCTTGAGTTCTGGGAGCAGGAGGCAGCTTACTGCACATGGAGGTGCCCTAGGCCTGGGTAGAGTCATGGAAGGAACCGGAAGGTGAGGAGGCACCAGTGAGGCACCACGAAGGGAGCCACACGGCTTCCCTGGTAATCCCATTAACAATTAACAGCGGATCTCCGTACAAACATTGATGTCATTGAGTAAGGAATGCTTAGATGACAACCCCTGAGCCTTTGCTCAGAGTAAAGCCTTTTTTTTTTTTTTTTTGTCACAGAGGGCAGCAAGGACGTCATACTCCAGAGATGATGTGTTACCTGGAAACACCACCCGCTACGCTGGCCAGTGCTCCGCTCCATTGCCAAAATGGGATTAGCAACACCTTTGAGTCTCAAAATCAGACACTTATGTGACTGGTTTGGGGCTACAGCTGTCCCCAGTTGAGACATCCTCCAGGCCTGCTGTGGAGACAGGCTGAGGAAGTGGACGTGTAGGGCGTTGATGATAAATCCACTGCACCACATGGATTCCCAGAACATTCCACATACGTTATGCCAAGAAGGTTTGGAAGTAGATCCTGGAGTCCTACTCCAGCTACCCAGCCACCCCTGTGCCCTGGGAGGGCAGTCGCCTTCTCCCCTTAGGACTGAGGTAAGGTTCTTCAGCCCCTAATCCTCCGCCTCTCCAGGGACCTCTGACATTTCTGCCAGTGGTAACAGTTCTCAGGAACTGAAATTCTCTGGCAGATATCTGCTCCAGATGCTTTAGTGTCTTGCCAGAGGTGTAACCTTGATTTTGAAACTGAAGAATCCGTCTGACCCTTAGAGGACTGGGGAGAGGGGAGCCCAGAGCAGGGCTCAGGAGTCCTTTCACAGGACCCCGGAGCCTGAGGCAGCCAGCCCATCAGCATGCTCACTGAGTCTAGGAGTCTGAAGCTGTTCCCGAGTGCTCGCTGGTCAGCCCAGCTGCTTTTCTAAATTAGTCTTCACGGGCTAGGACCCAGGAGACAACGTTCACTTCCACAGTGCCTTCCCGCTCCAGACACCAGACACTCAGCCTAGAAAAGCCAGCACTAACCTCGTCCAGGGATGCCGAGGAGGAACAGAGACATTTGGCCTGGCTTGGGGGTTTAGAAAACACGACCAAGCCCCACTGCTAACACACACCTCTGCTCCTAACCCTGTAGTCATGTAGCATAGTGACCAGTTTTATGTTAACTTGAAGCAAGCTAGAGTTATCTGAAAGGTGGGGGAAGTCCCAGCCCACTGTGGGTGACGTACCCCTGGGCTGGTGGTCCCGGGTTCTATAAAGAAAGCGGGCTGAGCAAGCCAATAAGGAGCAAGCCAGTAAGCAGCTCCCATCCATGGCCTCTGCATCAGCTCCAGCCTCCAGGTTCCTGCCCTGTTTGAGTTCCTGTCCTGACTTTCTTTACAAAGAATAGCAATATGGAAGTTTAAGCTGAATAAACCATTTCTTCCCCCAATAGAAACGCTAAAGCCGGGCATGATGGCGCCACCTTTAGTCCTAACACTCTGGAGGCAGAGGCAGGGGGATGTCTGTTTTTGAAGCCAACCTGGTCTACAAGGCAAGTTCCAGGGCAGCCAGGACTGTTACAGAGAAAGCCTGTTTTGAAAAAACAAAACAAAACAAAGCAAAACCCTAACTAAGATTCCACTGAGAAGGTATTATCAACCCTAGTTTGGGGGTGAGAAAATGGAGACACCCCCACCTCCTGCATGTGCTTCCATTGGTCGGAGGGCCAGCCAGGATGCCTGGCTTTGAGATCCCCAGATGGTGAGCCTTCAGGGGTGCACCCATCACAGTGGGGGTGGGGAGCGGTGGCAGGCTCTAGCTGAGACACCACTGCAGAAGGCTCCTTCCTAGAAGCCCCTCCCCCTGCAGAACACTGGTTCTAAATGCACAGAGCAGCCGTCAGCAGAGGACCAGCTCTTGGAAACCATCTGACCAGAGTGTGCAAGCCCAGTGTTGGCATGCAATTACAACAAGAGGCACCTCTTTCCCCATTGAAAGTTGACTTACTGTTTTCAGTTTTTTGGCAATGAGGATAAATAAGTTCCTAAGTTACAGTTACAATCTTCCTTTGTGTGTATGCGTGTGTGAACATGGGTGCGTATGTGTGTGTGTGCGCGCACATGCCTGTGTCTATGTCTGTGGAGGCGTGAGAATACCTTTGGGTGCCACTCCTCAGGGACCATCCTGGTTTTTTGAGGGGAGTTTCTCACTAGGACCTAGGGCTTGCTCATTAAGTTGATGAGCTAGTCAGTCAGGCCTAGGGATCTGTGGTCTTTGCCTTCCCAGTGTTGGGATTACAAGCAAGTGCCACCATATTCAGTTTTCCCCTATGCCTTCTGGGAATTGAACTTAGGTCTTTATGCTGTGGGGGAAACATTTTACCAACTGAGCTCCCTCCCCACCCAGCTCTGCACCCAACTTGTCACCTTCTGACAAAGAGTCTTTAGCCTAGGCTGGTCTCAAACTCAGGATCCTCCCTCCTGCCTCTGCATCCCATATGCTGGGATGACAGGTGTGTGCTGTCTGATAATTACTATCTTTCTGAAGAATCACCTTTGAGACAGCACTGGGACTCTGGGTCAGGCTGATACTTAAGCTAACTTCCTGGCTCTGCAGTTTCGGCTGCATGCATCTGAGTCTCCTCTTGGGTAGCATGGGGACAGTGTGTCCCTTGGAGGGCTGCTGGAAGATCACTCCAGATGATATGGGGGAGGCAGAACCATCCCAGGGTGCCAGTGAGATGGGGGGCAGGGGGAGCCCAGAGTGTCTTAGTTTTATTCCCCTTGCCTTTGGAGCTCTGTTCTGGCCACAAAAGAGATTTTTCACCTGGTCCATGATTCCCTGTGAAAAATCCCTTTCTGAGTCAATGGTCTAAGGAGCTGGGCTTGCTACTGCAGAATGCATTATTCCAAGAACACTCCAGCAAAAAGCACATAAACACCGAGGTTAAGCCAGGAGGATGGACACTGTCACCATGAGCAGGGCACCCAGGCGGCCTGGCAGCTCTGCTCCTGAGGATTAAGGGAACCAGGCATCAGCTGTCAGCTACGCAAAGAGGAAATTAGTCAGCAATTCCCGGTGACAGCTCTTCTTCTGAACAGTAGGAGAATAATGGACCGCTAAGTCCTTCCAGTCAAGCTGGAGAGCAGGATCTGAGGAACAAGTGCGTCCCACCTGCCAGTCACTGGGAAGGAGGGACAGAGCTCTGCATGCAGCTTCAGCCTTCAGTGAATTCCCAGGAGAAAAATTGTGTTTTATGCTTTGGCTCCGATAACCCTGGAAGGCCACGTGTCTTCACATCTTGATTTTGTTTCTGGTCACTTTGGACCGGTCTTCCCTGCCCGGAGTTCTGCACAGCATGCATGCCCCTCCCCCAGCCGGCAGTCCTGGCTGCCAGGGCTGAATTCAAGAGTGTGAGTGTCGTTAGCTGACATTCATCAAAACACTCCTCATTGTTCTCAGACACTCGAGGCCGGCGGAGAGGTGGAACTTGTTCGTTCGCATTTCATGTTAATGTGTATTGAGGACTTGCCTGACAAAACACATTACTGTAAGAATTGCCAGCCTGAAAATGAAGCTATGTTTACGGCTCACCCTTATTTTTTTCTTTCCTAGAGGAAATGACACTTCCCCTCTCTACCCTTCCCAGCCTTCTGTGGCTCACCCTCCCCTATCATCCACACAGCCTTAGCATTTAATTTTTCCTTCACGAGTAAAGCTTTTGTTGGCGGTGTCTGCGAAAGTATAATAAACATCTTGGGCTTCTGCACTGGTGCCTGAGATTAAAAACATGAAACAATGAGCCTCGACACACTGCTTTTAATGTGGTGTGATGAGTAGCATTTCCCAGGGGGCCACACGGTGGCCATCTGACTGCAGATCCATGGGCTGTGTGGGGTGGGGTGGGGTGGGGTGGGGTGGAGGGGGGCGGTGCTGGATGCGTCCCACAGACATCCAAGCCACGCTGGATGGCGGGCAGTCGGGACTCTGTCTACGTGACACCTGCACCACAGGCTCCTTCAGAGCCCAAGGCTTTCACTTTTGGGTTTCAAGTGTTGTGAAAACAAAACAAAAAAAGTCTCCTCTCTCACATGGAAAATCTTTTATGCTTCTTTGGTCTGTCCCTCTCTGGATGAGGGCACTTCCCTAAGGGCAAGGCATTCCCTGAGGGATGTTATTTTGGAGTCGGGATTCAGGAGAAGTGGTGGCAGATGGCAGAGGAGACCCATGAAAGTCACAGGGACGAGGGACACCTAGGCTTTGCTGCTTCTTTCCTTCCTTCAGCTTAGGTCACAAACAGTCTGGGTGTCCACTAAGGAGTTCGGTCGCGCCTTACGTTTTACTGGGATGAAACCCATGTGCCATTCAGGGGCCCAGCTCCTTGAACTTTGTATCACCAAACTTTGAAGCTTCACGAGGCCATGAAGGTGGGGAGTTTGATCTCCCGGCCTTTCTTTCTTTCTTTTTTTTTTTTTTTTTTTCTCGTTTGTGGACCTCAGTGAGGTTCCGTGGGCTACATTCTCTCCAGGGAGGACTTCTGTCCTCAGGCCCACCTTGGCTGGGGACAGGGATTGTTCAGTACAGCTCTGGCAAGCAGCCTTGCTAGTTCGAGGTCTCTGAATCAGGAGATGAGCACAGAGGTAGGTGAGGGGGACTACCTGGGAGGTGTGAGCGACTTCCAGCTAGCGACTTCCTGGGAGTGGGCGGTGCCAGTTCCTGCCTCGACCACCCCGCCACCACCACATCATCGCCCGGGTGCCTTCCCACCATCAGCTATGCGACATGTGCCCCCCCTTAAAAATGCCCGCCCAAGCACAGCTCACTCTCCTGTTCCTCACTCAACTCTCTTCTCCCTCATCTCTTTCCTGTTCTCTGTCTGTCTGTCTGTCTGTCTGTCTGTCTGCCTGCCTGCCTGCCTGCCTGCCTGCCTGCCTGCCTGCCAGCCTGCCTGCCTCTCATCTGACGTGGCCTTTCTGCTCTTTCACTCTCCCCCCACCCAGTAAACCCGTTGCACTAACTCCGTTGGGCGTGGCCCGTCTGCTTAGCGGCACACGTTGGCAGGGCCCGCCGGAAGGTGCCCACTTTGGCTTTCTGGTTTTTTTTTTCTGTCCTTTCAGGTGGGCCAATCACATGTCATGGGAACCCCTAGTTCTTGCGACAGGGAAAAGGCGTGGCAGGGACAGGTGGGGGTCTCAGACTGTGTAAGGCTGTTGCAGAAGCCAGCCCCGGGGAGTCCAGGAACCCAGCCAGACACAGCGGCTCTGTACAGAGCCCACGGGCTGCATGGCTGACCTCCTGCCGGGTGAGTGCCTCTGGTCAAGACGTGGTAAAAGCATGTCCACTCTGGAGACACTGGATATAAAACGGCTCACTGCTAAATTCACAATTCAAGCACCCCAGGGTGGTGCTAAGAGAATCGGTTTCAGTGAGTTAGAAGACTGTTTCTAATTCAAACCTTGATGGGTACAGCCGTCCCCTCCTCTGGTACCCAAATCTGTGCTACCCAGCTGATTTTAAAAAGAAATAATTAGCTGTGGCAAAACGTCTGACAAAACCAATTTAAGGAAGGGCTTATTGTGGCTTGTGATTTGATGGTTCATTCGGTCCATCGTGCTGGGGAAGGCACCTTACGCGTCTGGTCACAGCTCAGTGAGCCTTCTCTCCCCCCCCCCACTTTTTTATTCAGTCTGGGACCCCAGCCTGTGGGGTAGCACTCCTCACCTCCAGGGTGGTTCTTCCCTCCTCCGTTAAATCTCTCTGAAAACATCCTGACAGACAGAGACTCCCGGAAGTGTACATCCCAGGCTGTTCTGAGTCCAGTCAAACTGACAGTGAAGAATCGCCATCAAGATTCGGAAAAAGTAGCAATCTGGCTGTTTGAAGCAATAACTGCAGCCCTTTGCCTTCTGAATTTGAAGGATAAACAACAGAAGAGAGTCCTGTGTGGCTTGGACGGATCACAGTGGGTGAAGACTAACAAACACTGACCAGTCACACGGTGTCTAGGCAGCAGGAAGAAGGTGACATCTATTCCAGATCTAAGCACCGTTGTCTTAGTTAGGTTTCTGTTGCTGTGCTAAAATACCAAAAGCAACTTGGGGGAGGCTTATCTCAGGTCTCACTGTGCTCTGAAGAAAGGCAGGGCATGACCTCAAGGGAAAGCAGAAGCCACAGGCAGACTGCTCCCAGGGCTTGTTCAGTTGGCTTTCTGACACACCCCAGGGCCGCTCACCCAGGACCGGCACCACCCCCAGAGAGCTGGACTCTTCCACATCAGTCATTAATCAGAACAATACCCACACACTCGCCCAAGGCCAGTTTTCCCAATTATGAGTTCCCCCTTCCCAGATTTGTATCAAGCTGACCACAGTTCTGAAGTAATAATTGGGTTAAGGAAATATGCTCTATTAACCTCTTGAACAGATTACTAAATGGGTACATTCAGACCTCCCCCCACCCCCGGACCCAGCTTCAATCCAAGATGGCTACTCTGCCTTGCCTCTCTGAGAGCTAGCTATCTCAGACAAGCCTGATGCCTCCACAGACTGTCTGCAGAGTAGCCTCACATCCAGCCCAAGGGAAAAGAGGAAGCAGACAGGAGGCTCGAACCCCCGGCAGAGTGCCCAGCAGAGGCCAGAGACCGGATCGCCTGCAGGCTGGCACATGATGCTTGTCGTAGTATTTATGCCCATCCCTTGTATTTCTGCACTAGCTACATCACACACCTCTCCAAAGGAGCAGAAGACCCTCAAGGTCGGGCGGGACCTTCTTTGACTTGCTCAGCCCCGGAGCTCCAACGCCAGGCACAGCATCTGGCACGCAGCAGGTGCTGAGTCAGCTTGCTGGGTGGACCCAAGGGATGAGTGACACCGGGAAGGTACCGCCCTCGCATTGCACTCCTGGTGCTTGCACAGAAGCAGGGGAGGTGAGCCCACGCTCCAGAATTATGTCAAAGGCGAGAAGCCACCGCTGCCGTGACCCTTAGCTGCCCTACCAGCCGGGCGTCGCAGCCTGCTGACCGTGCTGCTTCCAGCCCGTGCTTCTAAGGCTGGAAGTCACTGGGGAAACATGGTGGGGTAGGGGAAAAGAAGGCACGCTTGAACCGAGAGGACAGAAGGGTCTCTCAACACTGCCTGGAACTTAACCACACGCGTGCCAGTGGAGACTCAGATGTGAAAAATTCCAGCTCTGAGGGCAAGGGGATTCTTTAAACACTTCTTTCAAACATATTTGTGTTTGACACACAGTGTCCACAAAACCCTCTCCTGACCTAACCTATCGATGAAAATCCAGGTGTATAGTGCAGGTAATCTCCATCCCCCTTCTCCAGTGTTTCACCCGTGCTAGGTAAGCTCTCTTCGACTGAGCTGGACACCCCAGCACCCATAGGGGGGGCTCTCTTACAACTGTTGTTTGCTGATATTTTGGCCTTAACAGTGACTTTTACTTCCAATTCTTAGCCCTTCAACCTGCCAGCCAACCTTTCTGTAAATGGATAAGATTCTTATGAAAACTAAACTTACGGACAGAAGAGCATTGAAATGTTCGGGTTCATTTGCAAACGGAAATGACTGCTTCTTTTCCGAGCTCTACAGCTCCACATGGAGTGAAAAAAAAAAAAATAAAACCTGGCTTCACACTCAGCCAACCGACTACTTTTCTATGTTGGAGCGAGTCCCTGCGTGCTTGGTAGGGAAGTTTACTGCAGACTGAATGGTAACGCATGAGAGAGTGGAGACCAGCACCTGAGCACAGGGTCCTAGGCTAAGAGGGTGGTTGGGCACTCAAAACCAAGAGTCACACCTGGCCTAGATAGGGCTCATCTTTGCCGGCCACTTGCAACATGATGCCCCGCGTCGAGGGCTTAGATTACACATAGGAACACTGCAAAACACGATTTAAAAGTGCGCCTTCTGGGGTTGGGGAGATGCTGATAAACCGGCCTGCCTCCACCTGAGGTAAAGCCATCTTATAGTAAAGACACACTAGGCTCATTCCTGTTTCTGATTACATCACTGTTTCTTAAGGATTGGGGTAGCCCCACCTGTAAGTTTAACTACAAACGATTCTGTACTGCCTGTTCCAGGAATGTAATCACATTTTTGTTTCAAAAAGTTGTTAAGGCCGCTTTGCAACTATGTCTTTGTTTCAGGGGTTGTTATGACCAACCTACCCTTATGTTCCGCTTCTGTAACTCTACCTATTTGCCTGACAAATCCCCCATTTGGAAATTCTCTCTCATCCATCTACAGCCATCCCACCCTGAGCACACCTGATCTCGTCTGAACGACCCCCTACTCCTAAACTACAAAAACCCTTATCTTTCCTATGTCCAGTGCTGATCTCTTGAACCCATCTTTAAGGAGAGGCAGCCCATGTACACAAATAATAAAGCTTGCTTTAATTAATTTGGGCTGGTGGTAATTCTCTCTGCATCTATGGGATTAACAATGGCTCAGAGGTTAAGAGTCCCTCCGCTCTTCCAGAGGGCATAGGTTCAGTTCCCATGTGGTGGCTCACAACTTCTGGTAGCTCCACTTCCAGGGCATATGAAGCTCTCTTCTGGCCTTGTTGGGTACTTGGCACACACATGGCACACACATACATGTAGGTACACACACACCAGGAATCAATCTTTAAAGAAGAAAAATGTGTCTTCTATTTAACCACGGGAAAAGAGCAAAAGAATCCAAACAGAGGCACATTCTCAGTTCTTACAACAAAAATGCTAATGTCGGGGTAGGGGTTTGGGGCTCAACAGCAGACCTGGGCCATCAAGCCTGGGATTTCCTCCTAAGCACCAGAAGAGAGGTGTGAAGGAGGAAAAAGGCTTCAGATCACATAACATCAGATACCTTCTGAGCAAATGCAGCCTGTGCTATATCAGACACCTGAGCAAATGCAGCCTGTGCTATATCAGATACCTTCTGAGCAAATGCAGCCTGTGCTACTGCCTGGGTCCAGAGAAAGGAGATGGCCGGGTGATGGTGGCCCACGCCTTTAATCCCAGCACTTGGGAGGCAGAGGCAGGCGGATCTACATGAGTTCAAGACCAGCCTGGTCTACAGAGTTCCAGGACAGCCAGAGATACACAGAGAAACACTGTCTCGAAAAACCGAGAGAGGGTGAGAGAGACAGAGACAGAGACAGAGACGGAGACAGATTTCTATAAAGGACATCAGGATAAGGAAGAGAATCAGGAGGGAGACTCAAACACTGCACCAACTCAGCCAGCACAATACAACAAACAACTGAGCCAGGCCAACATCACCTATTTGCCACACTTTCCCAACTGTACATACTTTGTTGTGTTCTCGGTAAATATATGCTGAAATCTAAAAGACATATGAACTCCCAAAGGGTTTACAATTTTTTTGTGGTGTATTTATTTTTATCTTATGTTTATTGGTGTTTTGCCCGCATGTATGTCTGTGTGAGGGCACTGGATCCCCTGGAATTGGAGATGGTTGTGAGACGCCACGGTCTCACAACGGAATCAGGGTCCTCTGGGAGAGCAGCCCGTGCTCTTGTCAACCAAGCCATCTCTCCGACACACTGTTTTCCTTCTGTTCTGAAACATGCCAGGCATAACCTCGTGCTTCTCTCCAAGGGAAGCAACCAACCTTACCACAATACCTATTTACTCATTGTGGTATTTCTGTAAATGCCAGCATCAAGTGACCCCAGTGATCACTTTCCGTGTCACAGAAAAACTTAAAACTGTTTCCCAGTTTTTGGTGTCTTGTTGGAAAACTGCTTGGGAAGAGAAATGATGTTTTTATTTTACATGAAATTAAGTAAAACAGACGATTTTCTGCTTTTCTTCTTATAGTATAACAGGGCTGGAATCATATAATGCCTTTTAGTTTTTTAATTATGTCAGAAAAACAAATTCCAGAGTCATCAGTATCTTCTATTTGGGTTTTTGAGGGCCAGTGTGGCATCTGCCCCTGGAAGCCAGACCATGTCTCATGCATATTCAACCACTGAGAAGTCACGGTTAGCAAGGAATATCAACTCTCCTCTCTCTCTCTCTCTCTCTCTCTCTCTCTCTCTCTCTCTCTCTCTCTCTCTCTCTCTCTCTCTCTCTCTCTCTCTCTCGGACAGTAAAATATACTTTCTTCCATTCAAGTTGCAGATGATCAAAAGGATACAAGCAAGAATATTTTGCTTGGCACATGGCCTAAAAGTTCTAAATTTATGTATTCTATTTTTGCCTCTTTCTTAGACTGGATTAGTTACTAGGCAACTGAAGTATTTAATTTCATTTGCTAATAGTTCCATGTGCATAGTGGCAGCTAAGCATGTGGGCCTGCGGACGCCAGTACAAACACAGTCCCCCCCCCCAAGCCTCTGCCCAGTCCTCACTGCACCCCAGCCCCCCATCCTTCCGGTCTGCCTATCCGACTTGTGCTTATGGGGATACTCACATCTCCTGTGGAAGGGCTCATGGCACAGATCCTTTAATGGTCTGCCATCCTCACTGTAAGACAGCCTCGTGTGCCGCATTCAGAACCTGCTCTCAGACTTCTGGTTCAGGATGTCAGACCCGGCACATATGTTTCCTTCCCTTCCTAGAGAAAGGAAATAAAAATCTTTAGTGATACCCTGCGTAGGAAAAACAAACAGGCCATTGTGAAAAGAGAAATCCGAGATCAAGAAGAGTCCTTGGAAATTAAGAACATGTGAAAATGTGCTCAGGGTTTTGTCTTTAGGGGAGGGCAAGTTACAAATTCTGAATAAAATCGCATTTTCCTATTAGTGGCAAGGATTAAATATCCTGCTTTAAGTAACAAAAGTAGAGCAGTGGGATACAGAAATTCCAAATCACCTTCTCCCACCAAGTACGCGCGCACACGTATGTGCATGTGTGCGCACGCACACATACACATACACACACACACACACACACACACACACACACCTCAAACAAACCAACCCCACTGAATACAATGAGACAGAAAAGGTGGGTAAGGAGGTGACCATTAAAAACCATGTTAAGTAGGAAATGAAAATAAATGACGGGGATAAGCCCAAATATGCCAATAGGCATAATACAAAGGACTTAAAATTCTCCTATTAAAAGACAGACTTTTAGATAGGCAATGCATATAACCACCTCTATGATACCTTGGGAGGGACTTATCTATGGCATGGGGTAATTGGAAATAAACATAGTGTGTTATCAATAAGGAAGGAAGGAAGGAAGGAAAAAAGCATTGATATAATTAGACCAAAACAGAATCCCAGGACAAAAGAGACCACTGTTATGTGGGTTGGATTAAAAAAAAACACGAGGGGGCACCAGGGAAACCCGAGCTCAGGGGAGGGAACTTCCAGGCTTCTCGCTCAGAAACCGATGAATCACGCACTGCAAAGAGAGGCGGTTTGAACATACATGCATCACTGAACTAGGTACTTCTCACATTCAAACTCAATTCTCAAATAGCACAAAATACTGGTGGTCAAATCTCCACAGAGGACTTCAAAAATCTCACCAGTACTGGGTCACAAGTAATATCTCAACAAAACTTCCTTGAAAAGAGAAATATCCCAGGCCTCCTGGAGCTCTAACTCGAGAGTAATTGATGGAAGACATCCGAAGGTGAAATTAGAGACAGTGCCATGATGAGTGGCAGCCGCGCTCTCAGCTCAGAGTCTGCAGGAGGTATCAAAGAGACTGCAACTTAAAATGCAGCCAGCAAGTGGAGGAACTGAAATCACTGTTATCTCGGGGGGGAAAAATTAAAGTGAAGGGATTCAATAAAGAAAAAGATGATGAAAGAGAAACAAGTTGGTTTGATCGTTAGACCCTGAAGATGTCCCAATAAATAAAAAGGCAAGTCTAAGGGGTGGGGGACGGCGGGGGGGGGGGGGGAGCCAAACAAACAGAAAACTAAAACTTAAAAGAAGGTTGAACAGTACAAAATTAAGAATAGATAGGGATGTGGCTTCAGAATTACAACATGGATACGTGTACAAGTACTAATGATGCATTTGAAAATATAGGTGAGGAAGTAGGAGTAAAATGACATTCTAAGAACACATAAATTGCTAAAATGAGCCAGTCAAGGGTCAAAGAGAAGTAGGAAGCCCGGCTGGAGGCGGAGGGTCCCACGTGCAGATGGTCTGGGGACTTGGTGCCTCCTTTTGCCTTTGACAATCCCCAAAGCGCACATCCCCTTCCGTGCTGTCCTGAAGAGACATAAGTCATCAAAAGCTTTCCCGTTTGCTGCATGAAGCTTGGGGAACCTGGATTCTCCAGCAGCTGGATGGGTACATATTTGGGGAAGTCACCCCGCATTCACATCCACTAAGAGGTAGGGAGTAGAAGATGACTGAGGGACACACCTGACTCACTCAGTCAGGGAGGCTACCAGGCCTAGGTGTATCCCCAAACTATTCAGCTGCAGCATCATCCCTGATTTCCAGGTCATCTCTGACAAAACAGTGATTTACCCTGAAATGAAGAGAATAAGTGATGTCGGAAACAAGCCCAGGCACTATCAGGAAGCTAAAAAAAAAAAAAAAATCACAGCGACCTGTGACACCAGCAAGATCTACCCAACTGAAAGTGAGCAGTCCTTCTTGCTCATACACCTGGCCTGAGTGTTCTGGAACATGGCTAACATGTTTTTAAAGGCATCTTCAACAACGGTGTGGTTTCAGCCAATCGGTTGCTTTCCGTGGGGCCAGGATGTAATTTTTTTTTTTTTTGCATCTGGGAAATGGTGCTGACAAATTACTTATTATTAATTTTCTTCTTAATCTCTGTGATCCTGCCAGATAGATTCTCAAGTGTGTCCATCTTAGGGTGGGCTGTGTCCAGTCATGTGCAAAGTGGACATTTCAAGTTGACACGAGAGCATACCTCAGGGTGTTCTTCTGGGAGGTTTCACCCACAAACAAACCCCCTGGAAGAATGTAATGACCCCAGGAGGTAGGCGAAACTCGAGTGATATGAAGAATTGAATTACCTGGCCAGTGGGTGAGTCAGCAGCCAAATGAGATGTTCCTGCTGTCTGTCTACCATGCTTCTTTTCATGGGAAGCATGGTGGGGGGATAAACGTCTCTCTTGTTACTGTCTACAAGACAGGAGTGGCCTGCTTTTATGCTTTCTGACACACTGGTTTCAACTTTATACCTGTTGTGCTCAAGCATGAAAAGTTTAAAAACTGGTAGATATATATTTATTAATGATCCGCTATAACTAATGATTTACAGACCCAACATTATCACTGTGGAAGGGCCTAACTTAATTTCTAAAACAACACTTAGCGGAAGAAGCAACCTAGAATAAGGGGGTCCTTAACTTCAAAATTATGAATATGTAGTATGTATGTATGTATCTCCAGAGAAATGTTAGGTTTAGTAATTTAATTCACACATATTTGAGACTGGGCATATACATACATTTATATAAGTAAGTATGTATGCCTATAATTCTATCACACAGGAGGCTGAGGCAGGAGGTTCACAAGTCTGATGCCATTATCTAGTAAGACTTTGCCTTAAAAGAATATATGTGTGTGCATGCATTCACATGTGTGTGCGTGCATGTGTGTGTATGTATGCCTGTATGTGTGCATGTGTATGTGCGTGTGCGTGCGTGCGTGCTTGCGTGCGTGCGTGCGTGTGTGCGTGCGTGCGTGTGTGTGTGTGTGTGTGTGTGTGTGTGTGTGTGTGTGTGTGTGTGTGATCCATGGGAGCTGAAGTTATAGGTGGTTGGTTGTGGGCTACCCAATGTAGATCCTGGGATTTGAACTCCAGTCTACAAAAGCAGTAAGCGCTCTTATCTGCTGAGCCATCTCTCCAAGTCTTAAAATATATTCTTGCTTTTAGAAAAATCTGTTAAGCACAACAAAGCAACTCCAGTGGCCCTGTGAAGTCTTTGTTGCCATTGTAAAGAAGAGGCAGACTTAGTAAGTGGGACAAAGAGTGTATGCTCACCTACTGCCTAAGCTTTAAACACATCTTGGGGAGAAACGTGGCCAGAAGCCTCTGGGCCACCTTTGGAGGGAGAACACGGCTGATGAATGTCACAGGACACAAACACAATCAAACAAAGAGACATTGGGGGACAACATTGGGAGCCTACTCAGTAAGCGGGAACTGGGATACAGCAGGAAGGCTATGTGGGTGACAGGCCGAGGAAGGGGCTGGTTCAGAAGGAGGGAGGCTTCTTTTAGCAACCATTGAGAGAACACGGCTTATGATGGGTCATGCATCTAGCCTCAACCCGTGTTTTAGAAGCATACGTTCCTTAGTGCTTCTCAAGCCAGTATTCACTATAGGAAAAGAAGCCTGCACCAGGCTTGGGCTAGGAGCAGTGGCTTTCAAATACAGTTGCATGGAGGATGCTCAGGAGGCACATGACAGAGTTATGTCACCGCATCCTTTCTCCAGATCTGTCTACTCAGTTTAGGACAAGCCTTGGAGGGTGCCTCCTCTCTTTCCCCTTTTTCTTCTACTTCAGCCTCTTCTTTTTTTGTCAGACAGGGTCTCAGGTAGCCTCGGCTAGCCTCCAGCTCATATGTAGTTCAGGCTGACCTTGAACTCCTTATCCTCCAGTCTCCCAGGTGCTGGGATTATAGGCGTGTGCCACTTTATCCAAAGGGAATCTAACCCAGGGTTAATCTGCCTCAGGCAAGGTAGGCATGAGGCTTGGTGTTCTCTGCCTTGTGCAGGGCCCGGCTTCATGGTGGAAAGTGCTAAAAGTGGCCTCCTGATGGTCTCTCTTAAAAATTTCAGACACTTTCATTTTAGGCCGGTGGAAAGGCTAAGCCATTTATCTCTGCCCTGATCTGTACCAGAAAAATCAGCCTTGGAGTTCACCTGACAAGAGTCCCATTTTCCCACACCAGTCTGAAAGACCGTTTTCCTCTCCTGACACAGAAACTAACTGGTGCATGCTCTCTCTCTCTCTCTCTCTCTCTCTCTCTCTCTCTCTCTCTCTCTCTCTGTCTCTCTCTCTCTCTGTCTCTCTCTCTCTCTGTCTCTCTCTCTCTCTCTCCCAACTTTTGCCAGGCCCACTGGCCATCAAGCTCCAGGACTCTACGAGTCTCCAGCTGTCACACGGGTGGCGCAGCAGAGACTGAACTCAGGCTCCCATGTTTGGGTAGCAAATGCTTTACTGGTTGAGGCAATCATCTCCCCAGGTCACTAGAAATCTCCTGAAAAGAAACGTGAGTTGTAATTAAAGAAGAAAATTAAAGAAGAAAACATCTCTTCCTCCTTCGGCTACTGTGGGTGAGTTCTGAACAGAAGCAAAGATCTGGCAGACCAAGAGACGGGTTTGCTGAAGTGAGCATAAAACAAAGACACAAGAAAAGAAGAGATAAATGAGTAACGGCAGACCTGGAAGGCTGACCCTGGGGGAGCGGGAAGTGAGGCTGGGATGCACAAGCAAGGGCCTTGGGGACCGCTGGAGAGCAACATCGGCTGACTTAATTACTTAAGATGAAAAAACCAAGGCTTTTGATTAAGACCATCAAATAAAAAGGCAGAAGTTACCAAAGCCTTCATGTCTCAAACGCTTTTACCCTCCAACCTTCTCCCACAGGTCTTTAAAAA